AGAGAGAGAGAGAGAGAGAGAGAGAGAGAGGGGAGGCAGAAAGGAAACACACGCTCGCACCTCGCGCCTCCTGCACTGTGATCTCGGGGTGAACGCTCGGTGAACGCTCGCCGATCAGAATGAGGGTGCATCGTGGGATCTGCGCCAAACTACAGGGCGGCTTCCTCAGACGATGGTGTATGTATACAGAATATTCAGTCTGTCCTTTCGAACCGTCACGCGAATCGATCATTTTGAAGCGCAGGTCGCTTCAGAATCTTCGCTGCTGCAGCTGTTGAAATATGTGATTACAACCATTCTGGCAATTTTAATATAAAATTCTACTAACGTATCCACACTTGCACCTAATTCACAAGGAGGATCGGAATAAAAACTATTTTGCCGTAAATGTAGAGGACTGTTTTCCATGCAGGATGAAACGGTCTATTTTTAATACTCTTAGACTAAACTGACTCTTAGACTCTTAAATAAACTGACTGTTCACCAGCCAATTAGGAAAGACCGAATATCTAAACAAAGATAAAAAGGTTAGAGGTGTAAGAATTATCCGAGTCATAAAATCCAAATGAGAATTTAGATTAATCCTCAAAATTTTGATCGAAAAGAATTAAAGAAAGTCTCAGTTTTACAGAGGAGAGTTTTCACTTAATCGCTTTTAAAGATTCCGTCTCCGGAATGTCTTTTTCTACACTACTAAAATCCACTTACCTTGGTTACCAATAAACAAAACATTGCGTGAACATGATAAGCGACTGGATGTGAAAAACGAGCGTCACGCCTGCCTATGTTCGGTGCATGCCTCATCGAGGTTTATCGCCGAGGACATTGTTTTGCACGTCAATCTTGCATATTTGGCGATCAAATTGTTGTAATGCGACCGATGATTGCCGACGATGCGAATCGATCGATCAACCGTCATAGCAATGCGCCTTCAAACAGCGTCAATAAAATCGATCTGAAAAAGTTCTACGGCAGGCTCGTAGGTAATTTCTAAAAAATACGCGAACTTTTTATCTTCATCGAATGTACATTTTAATATACATTTAAATGATTAAAATGGCGAATGATTTAATTTGATTAAAAATCAAGAAGCTACAGCCAAAAGCTAAGAAAACCTTTTGGTTTTTGTTACACACTGAGAAACAAAAACTCTGTTTGATTGGATTAATCGGAGTCCTGGTTGAAAATGGACAAATCAGGAATTTTTTGCTTAAATCTGCTAAAATTTTAGTTGAGGAAACCGGAATTTTGATTGATACAATCAAAATCTTCTGGTTTGTCCATTTTCAACCAGGCCATTTTTCTCAGTGTGTGTTATCATTAGGCTTTTTCTAATATTACACACATTGTGTTTTGTTGATGACATTAATTAATTAAAGGAATCTATAATATTATTTAACTATGATGTAAACTAAACCTCTTTAACTCTTTAAACTAAACTAAACAATCTCGTAATGCATGTCAGAATTGAAGATTATAAAATTTTTTTATAACTATGTATCGCGTAATATGACAACGTCTGAAGATATATACGTGTATAAAAAAATATCTATTCAAATGTATGCATGTACATCGAGTACTCGGCATGAATTATGGATCGTCCTAAGCGAGAATCTAATTGACTTCAAGAGATGACAATTATTCTTTAGCACCGTTTAAAATCCGTGCGACTCATACCATAATCTCTAATGATGATTTATTTCCGAATGGAAAATTGGCGGAAGACTGCGGTTGATTCGATCATCCTTGTGACGTCACGGTTAGATTGAAAAGGTTAAATTATTAGTCTCTTATGTATTTAATTTTTTTTCAGACTTGTTAATTAAATTTTCGATTATGTAACACGAGAGATTATTTTTCACTTGCTAATGTATTTTATACATGATCAACTGCGCAGGCAGAAGTCAGGAATCCACATTCCTGATTCCTGAACTCGTTTGTCAATAACTTCGCAGCTGTTTCAAAAGAAATTTACGTAATTTTTCTCCACGACCTTTACTTCATGAGCCTCAAAATTATTTTAATTTTAACGGGAAAATAGAAGGGGCAACTCTCGGCGAACTCGATTTTAGGAGTGTGATAATAAAAATTTTCAATAGAGAAAAAGGAGGGGATTAATCGTTCAAATTTGATTATCAATTTATTAAAATTAGCATTGATTGCTGCGTCATAAATCTGTTAAAAATAATGACGCGACAATATAAATAATGAATTTCGCATTTTTATATATGCATATATAATATAAAGGAGAATATATATATATATCCTCTCTTTTCTTCTTGGAATTTTTTATTATCGCACTCCTAAAATCGAGTTTGTCGAGATCGTTTTTGCTTTCCCTAGTTAAAATTAAATTAATTAAAAAAAATTGAAATTACATATATATAAATTCAATGAAAGAAAAAATTATCACACTCCTAAGATCGAGTTTGCCGACAGTTGCATTCTCTAGTTACTTGAAACTTGGCTTAGCGTATCACACGTTTAATTTACCGATTTCGCAATTTGTGACACTGAGAAAAATGTCTGGTTGAAAATGGACAAACAAATAGAAGATTCTCATTATATCGATCAGAATTCTGGTTACCTCAATTAAAATTTTAATAGATAAGAGATTAAGCAGATTTAAGCAGAAAATTCTGTTTTTATTGTCCGTTTTCTACCGGAATTCCAATTAATCCAATCCAACATTTTTCTCAGTGTACTTGAAGAAGAGCTCGAAATATCCCGTTCGTTCGTTCGTTCGCGCGTTCCAAGTTCGCCTTAGCTCGCCACGCTCGAGGGCATGAATCGAGATGTCTGGGCTGGCTGGTCGGGAAGGCTCGCGATTAACCCGTTCATTCGCGGGTAATGTCACGGTTGTAGCCGTTGCTCTTAATTCGATTCAATGAATGTGTCATCGCGCGCACGGTCGACCACATTGAATCATTGCGGTTTATTCAGGCCGGCGGGATTGCACATCGCCTCGTGCCTCTTTCAGCGCCGGCACGATTCTCCTCGACGGAGAAGGACGGAGGACGACGACAGCAACGAAAACACTGTCGTTGACACTTTAGAGACGTTGTCGCCACACGCGGTAGAGATTCGCGTGGGCGTCGCGTTCGCGATCGCTTTCACTTCGGCCCCCGCGACGGTGGCCCGAAAGTTTTTCGCGCGGCTGTGCGGCTCCGCTGCACCGTTGCGTTGCGAAATGAAGCGTGGACCGACTCGACGTAATTTGGACGAGTTTTCAACATAAAAACATAATGGATTGTTAATAATCCTCAGGCATTCCTGAAAATTTGGGAAATTCTTCGTCGTAAATGAAATGAAACGCGCGTTGCGTCAGCCCTTCGTGTACATCCGACAATCGATAATCTGATCTATATTTTTATCAAGAGGAATTGTTTGCCCATCATTTCATTGTTTAATCGTTCGATGAAGATCGAACTTCTTTTCCAGAGACAAAGTATGACGTATCGTCTTGTATCGATGAATCGTACGATAAATTATCACGTTTCTGTATAGCGCTCGATAATGTCTTCATTCGATAAACGTGGAAATTGTCTTTGTTTACCGTATTGGTCATCAGTAAACTCGTCAGAGGCATGTTAACTTCAATCTCCGTTTGCGTGCCTACTTTCAGAGAGACATCACGAGTAAAGATTAATTCCGACGAAAAGTCACGTTACGCTTTTATTATTCTTCCACAACCACATGATGATGTAATGGACTATTTCCATAATACTCTTCCTGGATCTCATCTTTAATAGAACTTTAACAGAATTCCAATCTCAAACTGAAACCTCGAATGACGAATGGCAGCGTCCTTTCACATATTCTCGCGCTCGAATCTGTAACTAAAAGATCGCCTGTTCTTCCTTATAACATACAACTTATATACGTATTTCAAGGATATGAAATCTTATTGTAATAAGAAACGTCTGATCTAAATAAAAATCCTCAAAAAAGCGCGAAAAGGAGTATCATTGAAGGAATATCGCTGTTGAGCGCGTTTTATTTTATATAATGAAAATGTAACATGAAGGAAGAAGATAATCTCTTTCCCTATTAATAGAGAGGTCGAAGAGAGATCTTATCTCCATCTCCATTCAGAATTCTACGAATTTTCCTTGAAAACTTTTTTTTACGTCACCTTGGATCTTCGTGTATAAATTAATACCGATCGCTTTACACCGGTTATCCTCGTCACTGCGATACATTAGTTTGAAAGATCGATCAAATTCCCCAGCGTGATCAACACTGTTGCATTTTCTTTCCTGCCGTGTCAAAGTGTGAAGTTTCTGCATTTTATGATTATTTCTATTACATCGCCGGATCGGATCAGCTCGGAGAGACCGATTGGTGGTGATTTGGCACGATCGATCCGTGCCAAAGTTCCTCGGATCGACAGTGATAATTTAATGATAATGGAAATAATCCGGCACAAAAAGAGCCGACGGTGATAATGATAATGGAAATAATACCGGCACAAAAAGAGCCGTCCACATTGGCATAATTAATAACTAATCGAAATAGCCGAGTAAATAACCGAGTCTTCCTCGAGAAAGAGCGTTATTTGTTCGCCAGAGAATGAACTTTGCGACCATGAAGTGTTCGTGCTGGCCTCGGACTATCTGTCCGCGGGCGAGTTCCGCGATCGTTAGCAAAGTGCATTGTATACCAATGCTGCTTCTCCTGAATTGTTTGTATGCGCTCGTCGTATGTAAGCCATTCGGATATATAGAGAGTTTTTCACGTGAGAACGTCGATCGATATCTCAACTACGTAGCTAGAACATTCTTGAGCCTTGAGCTTGCCAATAATAAAAATCGTAGCGCTATAAATTACAAAATTATATTTGAGACAATTAATGTGTTGTCATTGTTTGTTATTAAATTATAGGACATTATAAATTGAAATGAACGAGACGGTACGCATAAATGATTAAAAAAGATCGATAAATTATTATAAAATTTATTTTGAACGTTCGAATCGTTATGTAAAACGCATGTTTTATGTAAATGATTAATATATCTCTTCATCGCTCATTAAAGCACATGGAAATTCCGGATATTTATCCGCGTTGCGTCACGCTCTTTATTAAAGTCAATTATTTGTTTCACACTTATGAATAAAGATAAGAATAAATGAAAATGTCATAATCAACGCGAGAAAAGTAACTTGGTGGCTAATAA